AAATTTAAATTTTCTAATTTAAAAAAAATTTAATTTTTTGTAATAAATTTCTAAAATTTTACTCACTTGTAGCCCGAATTCAGCGAGACATCATGTATGGCCACGTTATCAAATTGCGCGGGATTGGCGGTCCAACGTGCCCAATAGAATGTGAAATCATTAGCATCGTAATGATCTGTGAAGCGACATTTCAATGTCAGATCGGCATTTTCTCGCGTATCGAGCGATTCGTCTGCCTGTGAGGAGGTTAGTGTGGATAATGTGAGTCCTGAAAACAGAAAAAGTTTACTTAGAATATTACAAAGCCACAAACAAATAAAATGATAAGTTTTGGTACAAAAATTTCAATTCAGTAGCTTTATAAAACTTCAGCCTAATTGTAGGCAACATTTTTCCCGATATTAAAAAAATTATTCAAAATTGATGCCTACATTTAAGCTTACTACCATAAAAAGAGCTTTTTTCAAATACACTTGTAATAATAATTCCAAAATTAAAGTTCCAATGATATGCCTTAAAAGCTTAACTTTGAAATTCTAAGCTCTTACAATTAGAAATATTGCGCGCACACTTTTAACACAATATAAAATCGAAGTCATAAGCAATATAGTATCGGAAAGGCGTCGAAGAGAAATGTAAAAAAACTCTAAAAATATGTAAATCTGTCTGTAGGCCGCTCAAACAAATAAATATAATTTTGACACATTAACCATTGTATACACTACATAAACATAATTCATGTAAGCACACTCGCAGTGTCCAAAAAATGAGTTCATGAAATGTTATCTACGCCTTTTTTATTGCTAACAAATCTCTGGCAAAATTATCCGTTTATCCTTTGACCCCACATGCCTTGTGCAGTCGTGAGAATAATCACTACGTTTTATCATGTATTTCCTAACAAATCCGACAAATCATTTTATTTATTACAATAACAAAAAGAGCTTGAACGAGGCGTGAATAAAATCGTCAATCGAAGAGAAATTTCGGAAACCGAACCCAAATTGATGCAGTTCCAATTGGAAATTTTTAGAACACTGATAAAAAAATAAAGGTTTCTACTACGATGAACGCAAATAGCTGCATGAAAGGAAAAAGGTCCAAGGACATAACAAAAATTGCGAAATTTTCCAATTATTCAATTCATCACACACATAAACAGTGTCAGAGCGGCGGACAGCGCAGCTATTGCAAAAAGGTGTCTAAATAGATAGATGAAAAAGAAATTTTTCCATTTGAAGCGGAAATGCCTGAGAAAGGAAGCAGTGCGAAAAAATATTTGGTTGGTTAAAACAAACAAAAAAAAAAAAAACCAATACCAATGGGAGAAATAACAAAAACACGAACAGCGATGTTAAGAATTACAAAGAAGCACCAGCGACCCGCATCACCTGATGGCAGTGCTACAAGGCGTGAACTATATGTAAGCGGAGATGATCGCCAACGAAGTACACCGCATGTTTCAAACCCAAACGCACACTAATATATTATAAAAATATGCCACGGTGCGTTTTCGCTAGGAAAATGCTTGTTTTAGATACAAATCATTACGCATATACAGCCGCCAGCGGACGATATGTGAGCGGATCGAATTTTGCCATGATAGAGATGTGTTTTCCGTTCTGAAATAAAAGGGCAACCGGGGAAAAATATAAGCAAAAGTGTTTGTGGCCAATCGTCTGTTTAAAGTAAATTCCACATTTATTTCCTGTTTCATGCACACACATATTTGCTTAAGGCCACACACACGCACAAGCGTATCGCTTACAGTATGTCGGGATATCGCTTATGCAAGGGCAATTTGCGGACAGTTACACAAAGAGACCCAAAAGAATTGCGAGAAAAATCCTTTCGGCCGCCCACCTCGGTGTTAGGAATTTAAGAGCAAATATGTAAAAACAAAAAAACAGAAAATCGATGGGTATGCATTGGGTGCCCTGTTAGTCGCATCGATGCTCATGATTAAGCTGTCGTATCTTATTCATTTTATGACTAATCGCCCATTTGCCGGACGAGTGGTTTACTGTGGAAATTTTGAAACTTTCTGCATAGAAAATAGTTACCCATTTCCTGGGCGCAAAAAAAAAATAATAAAAATAAAAGTAAACTACGAAAAATAAATAAATAGGACGAGGTATGATTTCATGAAATTTTAATAAAAATGTTATTCGCACTGAGTAAGATCAGTTTTGTGAACGTAGTTTGATAGCTTACGCATTACTCTTTACGGCGTTAATAATGAACATGTGTGTATTTGAAATACTGTCTGATTTAGTGATAGGATGACTAAACAAAATATTACTTTATGAATAGAGCTTAGATTTACAACGTATTGCACATTTGGTTATTGAAATTGGCGCCCAAATGTAAAAAACTTTTAAACTTATTTATTTATGAGAGGTTGCCAATTTTGTATCATGGAATATGTTTCATACGAATTAGTATTGTCATCTAAAATATATGTTTTACAACTTTTGCCTAATTTAGTCGAATCTAATTTCTCTGAATAAGTTTCTTGATCGAAAAACTGCTCATTAAAGTATTGCTTTGCCTTCACAAGTTATTTAACTTATTGCATTATAGTGAGCTATGCTCGCACTGTATACTTTTTTCTCATTGTTTTAAGAACACATTAAATTCATTAAGGATTGCGTTGTTGTCAAGTTTTACTCTTCAGTTATAATATTAATTAACAATATAATAACCAATTAACCTAGCTTAAAAAGTTCAAAAGCAACTTGCTACCTGTTAGAATTAAATAAAGGGATTTTTGCAATATTTTCATTGATATATATAAGTTAAAGTCTGTGACTTACAACCATTTAGTTTAGTTGATTCTTTGAAAACTTAGAGTTGTTAAATCTTTGTACCACAGTCGTAAGTTAAAAAATAACACTTAATTTTTGCTCTTCTCTGATATAAACTGCAAGCGTAAAAAATATTTGAAGAGATTTAGATGGTGTCAACTTTTCTTTTATTTTATTTGTCAAAAATCCATTATTTTTTTCAGCTCGGTTGCCAATTTTTAATTTATGTGTTTTATCATAAAAATTATGAACTGCCTGTGATGGCATATAAATGATCGTAGCCAACTGATTTTAGCAGCAAATCAAAGCCCAAAGCCCAAAACCCGTTTAGTCAGTCTTAAAACATGGCACCATAAATACCAATATTATTACCACCAATAACATATAATAACAATAAAATGTCAATAATAGCTTGCATATTATTATGCGTATAAAAGCACGCAGCGACATATTTCTGATAAAGAAAATATTCAATAAAGTACACTCAGCACAGCAAAGTAATAAAACCCAATTGAAATGACATTAAACCCATTTGCCGGCATAAAGGCTAATTTACGATTAGTTAGTTGTAAGCGCATAAGCCAAGTTATTTAAATCCTTTGCCACTTACTTTTGCATGATAAGGCACCTTGTACCGACTTTTGTTGGCACCGTTTCGGCCATTTCGGCAGCTGGCGTGCCGGGCCAAAAGTGAATATACGCAAAGCTAGGCGCAGCTTGGAACTGACTCAGTGGGTGCACATTGATTGGCTAACACTAGCCGAGAGGAGGTGGAGTGCACGTTTTGCAGAAACGCCTTTTGGGATTATGGCATTGACACGAGGTTGAATAAAGTAAAAAATGGAATTAAGAGCGTGAATCGGATGCCGAGCAAGTTAAAAGAATAGAGGAGGAAAATTTTTACAGGCGTAAGCTTTATTCTTCTGCTACAGCTGACGCTTCAGCTAACTATAACCGGAAAGCGCACAAAAAATTAAGTAGCAAGTAAAATTAGAGCACGCAAATTGTAAATGCACAGCAGGCAAATTAATCTTCATAAACTAATTTGGCTGATAGTCCACCGCGGGCAGAATTCGATGTCTGGGAGTGGGCACTATAGCAGCTACCACTTAGGTGTTGCTGCCGCTGGGAACTATTGGAGTACGCGAAACTTTGGGTAAATACTTTTGCGCTGTGTCGGCACTTTTTACGCCCTGCGACCGCTTTGGGTGTAAGTGTTTATGAAATTTTCATTTTAGTTGCAATCAAAAGGAGAAAATGTCGCGAAATGAAATAGACAAGCCAGCAAGCTGGCGATGTCAAAGCAATGTAGTGGACGCGCGACGAAAACTACCAACGAAAGAACGGAAGAAAATTAAGTCGGGAATATATTCGAAACAAAAAACAAAAAACAAAAAAAAAAAAAAAATGCAAGACACAACTCAAAGTGCCGGCTACCCATCTCCACTTTATGTGACAAACAACTTTGTTGCAACTACAAAATTAACAAAATGTTTTAAAAATGCAAACAACTTCTCGCATACACGCGACAACGCAGGGGTCATGCTGGTTAAAGGACCAAAGGCTATCATCTGTCGACGACGACGACGACAAGCAGCAAAAGCGCCCAAAGTAGTGAACCACAGCAGTCAAGTGTCGGCCAAGTGCATCAACAACTCAACGCGGGGTTTCACCCTTCTAACCAATTCGCTGTCTTCCACTGGTTGGAGATACGAAACAGACAATGTATTTTTAGCTAGGCGTGGCGTACTTGCACTGGCTGGTCGTCTGGGGTCACGACTCCCTAAAGTATGCAACGCGCAGTGATTTCATTCAACAATTTGCGTGATTCTCAACTGAGTGAAAGCGATTTAATAGGAAAACTTTCAAATTGGAAAATTATATTTGCATGCGCGTAAATGTACGCTGCGCCAGCGCAACGTGCCGTGGAAATTTAGTGGAAGGGGCGGTAATTGACAATGTCAACTGGATGGATGAGCGCTGAATGTGCTGAAAATACATAAATATATTAGGTATCTTTTGCGGAAAAATGGGGAAAATTGTGTATGTCTTTGAAGTGCAAGCCGTGTGCTGACTTATGGTGGCACCAGTATTACTTAGATGATTTTAATTGACCATCTTTTAAGGTGTTATTTTTGCTGCTAAATTTTATTATATATTTTATATATATATCATTTTAATTTTCGACTAAATGTATACTACTACTTTATCTCTTTACGCGATGTTGCCAATTTTCTATCATACTACATATTTAATATGAAGTATTAATATATAAAATACATATAGTTTTCAACATAGGTTGAAAATATAGCTTTAAACGAGTTAAAACCCATTTTAGCATTGTGGACGAATTTAATTTAATCCTATGTCACTTTTAATGGATTTTTTTGTGAAAAATTCTTTGCATAAATATTGCTTTGCCTTCGCCAGTTATTTAAGTTAGTAAGTTACAGTAACCTAT